CCGGTCATTCAAGAGAGACAGACCTGTCTGTATTAAGGGACAGAGTTAGGGCCACAGAGACTTTAGGGCCACAGAATCGTTACTCAGGGACACAGAATCGTTACTCAGGGACACAGAATCGTTACTCAGGGACACAGAATCGTTACTCAGGGACACAGCTATCAAAGAATCGAAAATTTAAAGTGACATACACCCTTTTTTTTTTTGGTGGCTGTCGTGCACAGTTGGTGCTGCAGTTTGCCGATTGTGCAAAATAAACTGACTTTCTGCTTCACAACCACTATTGTACGTTCAAAGAGTTAAATCCATTTACACGCCGGCTGGCGGTAATATTTTTTGGGTGATTAGTGCATTCCAGTGACACAAACGTACAGTTTCCAGCCAACGGCAAGCTGCAATTGACCGATTGTGTACAATAAACTGACTTTCTGCTTCACAACCACTATTGTACGTTCAAAGAGTTAGATCAATTTACACGCCGGGTGGCGGTAATATTTTTTGGGTGATTAGTGCATTCCAGTGACATAAACGTACAGTTTCCAGCCAACGGCAAGCTGCAATTGACCGATTGTGCTAAATAAACTGACTTTCTGCTTCACAACCACTATTGTACGTTCAAAGAGTTAAATCCATATACACGCCGGGTGGCGGTAATATTTTTTGGGTGATTAGTGCATTCCAGTGACATAAACGTACAGTTTCCAGCCAACGGCAAGCTGCAATTGACCGATTTTGCTAAATAAACTGACTTTCTGCTTCACAACCACTATTGTACGTTCAAAGAGTTAGATCCATTTACACGCCGGGTGGCGGTAATATTTTTTGGGTGATTAGTGCATTCCAGTGACATAAACGTACAGTTTCCAGCCAGTGGCAAGCTACAATTGACCGATTGTGCTAAATAAATTGACTTTCTGCTTCACAACCACTATTGTACGTTCAAAGAGTTAGATCCATTTACACGCCGGCTGCAATTGACCGATTGTGCTAAATAAACTGACTTTCTGCTTCACAACCACTATTGTACGTTCAAAGAGTTAGATCCATTTACACGCCGGGTGGCGGTAATATTTTTTGGGTGATTAGTGCATTCCAGTGACATAAACATACAGTTTCCAGCCAACGGCAAGCTGCAATTGACCGATTGTGCTAAATAAACTGACTTTCTGATTCACAACCACTATTGTACGTTCAAAGAGTTAAATCCATTTACACGCCGGCTGGCAGTAATATTTTTTGGGTGATTAGTGCATTCCAGTGACACAAACGTACAGTTTCCAGCCAACGGCAAGCTGCAATTGACCGATTGTGTACAATAAACTGAATTTCTGCTTCACAACCACCATTGTACGTTCAAAGAGTTAGATCCATTTACACGCCGGGTGGCGGTAATATTTTTTTGGGTGATTAGTGCATTCCAGTGACATAAACGTACAGTTTCCAGCCAACGGCAAGCTGCAATTGACCGATTGTGCTAAATAAACTGACTTTCTGCTTCACAACCACTATTGTACGTTCAAAGAGTTAAATCCATTTACACGCCGGCTGGCGGTAATATTTTTTGGGTGATTAGTGCATTCCAGTGACAGAAACGTAGTTTCCAGCCAACGGCAAGCTGCAATTGACCGATTGTGCTAAATAAACTGACTTTCTGCTTCACAACCACTATTGTACGTTCAAAGAGTTAGATCCATTTACACGCCGGGTGGCGGTAATATTTTTTGGGTGATTAGTGCATTCCAGTGACATAAACGTACAGTTTCCAGCCAACGGCAAGCTGCAATTGACCGATTGTGTACAATAAACTGACTTTCTGCTTCACAACCACTATTGTACGTTCAAAGAGTTAGATCCATTTACACGCCGGGTGGCGGTAATATTTTTTGGGTGATTAGTGCATTCCAGTGACATAAACGTACAGTTTCCAGCCAACGGCAAGCTGCAATTGACCGATTGTGCTAAATAAACTGACTTTCTGCTTCACAACCACTATTGTACGTTCAAAGTTTAGATCCATTTACACGCCGGGTGGCGGTAATAGGGTGATTAAATCCGGTTTACAGTTTTTTGGGTGCTTATTGAACAACCACTTTGTACGTTCAAAGAGTTATTGAATTAAAGAGTATGTCAGACAACACGCAGAGGAGTGGCAGAGGAGGCAATGTTTCAGGAGCGAGCAGACGTGGCAGCAGAGGAAGGGGTCGAGGCAGCACTAGTCGCAGCCAGAGGCCAGTGCTCTCGGTGTCATCCAGCGGTCGTGTCTCCACCGACAACCCTGCCGTCATCGATTGGTTGACTCGGTCGTCTTCCTCTTCCCAGGTCACCTCTGACACCTACAGCCAACGGTCGGTGGGTACGTCAGACACAACCGTTAGTTGGCATGGCCCGGGAGCAAGCCCACTGAAATCACGTGTCCTCGACCTGCCCCTGTCCTTTGCTGTTCCCTCACCAAGCGAAGTATCGCATGCTGTGGGCTCAGCCCCACTGTACAGTGAGGAAGAGCTAACAGAGGGCGGTCAGGAACGGGGGGAGACATCCGCCTCTTCAGCAGCCAGGCGAAGAAGTACTGGCGAGGAGAGTGGCTCGGTAGCCGGTCTAGAGACAGGTCTGTCTCCTGACCCAGACGCAGCCGAGGGGGCTAGTAGTGAGGCGGAGACCCTAATTGATGATGATGAGGCTGATCGCACTTGGCAGCCTCGTCGTCATCAGGCTATTGCTTCCGCATCATCAGGAGAAGAGGGTGCCAGCTTGCCAGCGAGCAAAACAGTCGGTGGGTTGCCCAGGAGGCAGCAGGGTCGCAGCAGTGTCAGTGGAGCCAAACGGCCACGGAGTAGAGCACCAGCTCCACTGCAGCCTACCACCACGGCCAGTAGTGGTGCCAGTGTGCACGGAGGAAGTAGCAGTCAGCCAGTGAGGAGTAGCGGGGGCAAAGTTTCCTACTCGGCGGTGTGGCAATTTTTCGTCACGCCGCCCGAGGAAGTAAACGTAGCCGTATGTCGACTATGTGGCCAGAAAGTCAAGCGTGGCCAGGGGGCCAATGTTGGGACTACAGCGTTGCGTCAGCATATGCAGCGTCGCCATTCGGTGGCCTGGGAAAACCGTGATAAAGATACGGCGGTTCTGCCTGCCCCAGCCCCCGCTCCATCACCCGCTCCGTTACTTGCTCCGTCACCCGACGTCAATCGCCCTCTATCAGCCAGTCATGGCTCCAACACCTCTGCTGAGGGGAGTTGTCGCTCGTTGGCATCTTCCGCTCGTTCAGATGCTCCTTCTCCTGCTACTCCTCTTCACGGATTCCGTCAGCAGTCTTTCTTGGAATCCGTTTCCAAGAGACAACAGTTTGCGAGCACGCACCCGACGGTGCAGAAGCTGAACGTCCTCCTGTCCAAGTTGCTGGTGCTGCAGTCCCTCCCTTTCCAAGTGGTGGACTCAGCACCTTTCCGAGAAATGATGGCTTGTGCCGAGCCGCGGTGGAGAGTGCCAAGCCGGCATTTCTTTGCCAAAAAGGCAGTGCCAGCCCTGCATTCACATGTAGAAGAGATGGTGGGCCAGTCTTTGAGCATGTCGGTCTCTGCCAAAGTGCACGGCAGCGCCGACGTGTGGAGCTGTAACTACGGTCAGGGACAGTACATGTCATTTACGGCCCACTGGGTGAACGTGGTGCCGGCACAGCCGCACCAGCAACTTGGACAGGTCACGCCGCTTTTGCCTCCACGTTTGCACGTCCTTGGTCCAGCAAAGATGTCCGCCTTTACCACCTCTTCTTCCGCCGTGTCCTCAGCCGCCACCCCCGTGCCAAGTCCCATTACCCGACCGGCATATCACATGTGCAGGGCGCAACGGTGTCACGCTGTGCTGCACCTGGTATGCCTTGGCGAACGTAGTCACACAGGGGAGGAACTTCTGAGTGTAATGAACAGAGAAATCGACAGATGGCTGTCTCCGCGCAAACTGAAAATCGGAACCATGTTGACCGACAACGGAAAGAACATGGTGTCTGCTCTGCGTCAAGGAAGGTTGTGCCATGCGCCATGCATGGCTCACATGTTCAATCTGGTTGTCAAGCGGTTCCTAAAATCCACCATCCCACTGCAAGACATCCTTAAAATGTCACGTAAACTTTGCATGCATTTCAGCCATTCCTACACCGCAAAGCACACCCTCCTTGAGCTGCAGCGGCAGAACGGAATTCCACAGCATCGCCTGATCTGCGACGTTGCAACAAGGTGGAATTCAACCCTACACATGGTAGACCGCCTTTACGAACAGCGAAAGGCCATCACCGATTTCCTGATGTTACAAGCGGATAAAGGTACTCCCCTGTGTAACTTAGATGTCAGCCATTGGCAGCTCATGCGTGACACCTGCCGCTTGCTCAGGCCCTTTGAGGAGGCCACGCTATTCGTGAGTCGGCAGGACTATGGGATGAACGACGTCATTCCTCTGTTGCACGTCCTGGAACAAATGCTGTTAACAATGGCTGGTCAGGGTGCAGTAGACGTGGCGCACAGATCTCAACGCCACATGACCCCTGTGGGGGCAGGACAGGAAGAAGAGGAGGAGGTAGAGGAGGACATTGGTGCTCAGGAATTATTGAGTGAAATGGGTGGTTTTTCAACTCAGCGGACAGGAGTGGAGGAGCAGGAGCATCTGGTAGAGGAGGAGGAGGAGGAGACAGAGGACCCAGACGCACCGTGGCAGTATGCTGTGGAGATGGAGGCAGGGAGTCCCTCGCATTCCTTGGCACAAATGGCCCATAGCATGCTCGGTTGCTTGCGTAGCGACAGCCGAATAATAACCATCAGACAGAGGGATGACTTTTGGCTGTCCACCTTGTTGGACCCTCGCTACCGTTCAAAAATGGTGGCCTTTTTCACACCTGCTGAGAGGGAGGCCAAAATAAAGTACTATAAAAACCACCAATGTAGTCATGCAGTATATAGCCCTATCGGCCACTTTCTGGCATCCAGTTGCTGTAGCCCCCATCACCACACTGTGCCACGGGCCCCTGTACCGCCTTCTCATACTGCTGCCAGATCCATCCTCTGCCATGTGTGTCTTTGTCGTCTGCTCACGCTGCTGGGTTCCAGTTTTAAACCTAGGCCTGTGTATGGCTTCCGAATACTGCTGCCTCCACCGCCACCCTGCGCCATGTGCCTCTGTCGTCTGCTCACGCTGCTGACGGCTTCCGCTTTTTAACCTAGCCCTGTGTATGGCTTCCGAATACTGCTGCCTCCACCGCCACCCTGCGCCATGTGCCTCTGTCGTCTGCTCACGCTGCTGACGGCTTCCGCTTTTTAAACTAGTCCTGTGTATTTCTTCCGAATACTGCTGCCTCCACCGCCACCCTGCGCCATGTGCCACTTTCAGGTCTCCTTACACTGTTGGTGGGTTCCATTTTGTGATAGGGTGCTGTATGGCCTTCCATTGCTGCTGCCTCCACCGCCACCCTGCGCCATGTGCCTCTGTCGTCTGCTCACGCTGCTGACGGCTTCCGCTTTTTAACCGAGGCCTGTGTTTGGCTTCCGAATACTGCTGCATCCACCGCCACCCTGCGCCATGTGTCTCTGTCGTCTGCTCACGCTGCTGACGGCTTCCGCTTTTTAACCTAGGCCTGTGTATGGCCTTCAATTGAAGCTGCTTCTGCTCCGCCACTCTGCCATTGGACTCTTGATAGTCGTCTCCCCACGCTGCTGCTGGGGGGACTTTTTAACATAGGCCTCTGTATGGCCTTCAATTTTAGCTGCTTACGCTCCGCCACTCTGCCATGGGCCCCTGTACCGCCTCCTCATGCTGCTGCCAGGCCCGTAATCTGCCATGGGCCCCCGTACCGACTCCTCATGCTGCTGCCAGGCCCGTAATCTGTCATGGGCCCCTGTACCGCCTCCTCATGCTGCTGCCAGGTCCAGAGTGTGTCATGACACTGCTGGTGGGTTCCATTTTGTCATAGGGTGCTGTATGGCCTCCCATTGCTGCTGCCTCCACCGCCACACTGTGGCTCCACACTCTGGTTTTGGCCCCGTGACTGCCCAAATGAGTGAAGTGTGCAGTGATTCTAAGATCGACGGCACTCATCTGCATGTCATACTGACTGACAGTATTATTTCTCTTCCCCAGCAGACTCCAAGGGCATTTAAATTAAAGGTACAGTGTTCTGCACTAATATAAAGGCTCTCTGAAGCCTAGAAACACCCTTTTTATAAGTTAAATTCGCAGCGAATATATTCGGCACGAAGCAAATTTAATCGGCGAATTCGGCGAATCAGCCGAACCGAATTTTTGAATAATTCGCTCATCTCTAGTGACAATATGAAAAAATAGTTTTCAATTTTTTAAAATTATTTGTATTTACTTTTTTTTTAAAGTATACTGTGACCAGAGTAGTATAGTATTACAGTAACATAATAACATTGTACACACTTTTGGGAATGATCTGTATTTTTTTTCTAAATTTTATGACTGCTTATAGCAAAGGATTTCATTTAAGTGAAAGAAATCGATTAATTCAGGTTTTTTTTTTGTTGTGATTAGCTTTGATTGGCCATGGCTAATCACATGACACAGATGGGCTTTGATTGGCCCAGTCTGTACATGTGATCACTGTGACCAATCACAGCTAGTGACTCAATTGTATACAATGGATGGCATGAAAAAGCAGCCATCCATTGTTTTACAATTGTTATGTGACCTGCTGTGATTGGTCACAGCAGGTCACATGGTACGGACACAGATCTGTCATTGGCTGTATCCGAGGTACACAGCTGGTGACAGATCTGGCCACAGAGCTGCCTTGTGGGCAAGAACAAGGTGCAATCTGGGAAGGATGTCATATAACTGCCACCGAGAGTCCCACTCTCCCGTCATTCTGCTATTGGCCAGGCGGGAACAGGTTAATAGTACTTTGAGCAAAAAAAAATGGATAACATTTTTGTTTGCTGTGTGCACTCACTGTGTGTCATAAACTATTGCTTTTTTGCCATAAAATGCTGTGTTCACAATTTTACATCCTTTATTATATCCTACTGCATGAGATCTCCTTCGGCCTTTTTTTTTGCAGCTACTTCCTGTCTACATTTACTTGAATATGATTTCTCTTCTTCCTAATAGTGATAATTAGGAATGAGCCAAACACACCCAGGTTCAGTTCATGTATGTTAAGCTGAGCATATCAAAAGCCTTTTTTATTTGTCACTTTTTCCATACATGTTCAAAAAATAATATGATGGGGTCCCTACAAAATCCACACCAGACCCTTCACTGCCCTTCCTCCTGGCCCATACCAAGCTATATGCTCTCAATATGAGGCATGAAGGCTGGTATGGTTCAACTGGGGAGAGGGGAGGCAGATATCTACCTCCTGCTAAGTGAATGGGTAAAGTGTACATAGTACCATTGGTTATTCAAAAACGTCAGTTGTAAATAAACACACATATGCTTTTGAGAAGACCTTTATTTAAAAAAAAAAAAAAAGGGCTGGGGGAGCTGAACATGAAAGGCTTTTTATTTTAATGCAGAGAACGTATTAAGGTAAAAAAAAAAATCCTATCCTTTACGACCACTGTACAATGTGTGTGGACATGGCCAAAGGGGTGCATGTGAGAGGGTGACAACACAGGTGCACAACTGCGACACAGCTGTCACCCTATAAAAGGAAATAGGTGATACTATTGAGCGCATATTGTCAGGAGGTGACTTAGAGAGTCCTCATGGGTGATACCTAAAGAAAATGTTGCTTTTCTTTTTAGAAGCATTAGTTGAGTGCTGCTGGTTGAGCCACTCCATGAAGGTTCTCCAGTAGGATGGACTGTAGAGACCATTGTTGAAGCAGCTCATCCATCATAAATGTTTTGTTGATAAAGTATTTGTAGCACCCTCCTAGTTAGGTGCTAGGATTTCTATAGTTATGTTAAGCATAGCTGTCTTTCTCTGCCTAACAGAGAGACTGTTAGGAAAATCTAATTGTGCTTTCTGATTAACAAAGTGCTGTGATAGATTAGTCAGATCTGCTAATGATACTCTGGTGTTGCTGAGTTTGCCTTGAGTTCTGCCCATCTTCAGAAAGTTGTGAGAGCCTTCCAGAACCTGGGAGGAAACTAGGCAAATGAGCAGCATGAATATGGATACAGCCCTGGCCAACTGCAGGGGAGAGCAGTCCTGTTTCATGCTGGGAGTGGTATTTATGTTCTGTGAGCAAATGGGTTCAGTGTCTTTCCCGGGAGGGGACTGAACCAAGCCAGGCTGGAGGCAGGTTTGCCTCGCTTGGCACTGGCTGCCATGTGGCCTCAGGTGGGTTGACCTGAGGGCCTGAAGTTAGAGTGACCCTGGTTCTACAGTAAGCTGACTGGGGGAAGCTGTCTACCAAAGCTCTGTCTAGTATCACTGGAGTATTTAACTTGAAAGATTGAAAGTAGGCAACCATTCTGTCCTTGGGCCTTGTCAGTACAGACATTGAGGAATTTGGGGACTCTCTGTGCTTGCTATCTCCTCTGGTGTTTGATAGTCATCGTGGCTCTGGAATGGAAAGTGAAGAGCTTGTCCAAATTGTTGCTACTGCAAAGGACTTTGCTTAGCTAAGTTATCTTTGGTCTTTTGCAGTCTGTCGTAACTGGTTTGTACCTGAGGAGCTCAGTCCTGTAGCTACTACTACTGCAAAAAAGGACTTTTCTCACTCCTAAGCTACTGGCTGCTACAAATTAAAGGAAAGTCTGCTATCTGCTTCAGCCAAGTCTTTAAAAAGGGCTCAACTGAGAGATCAGCTAGATGTCCTCAGTGTGAATAGTTCTAATTTTAGAGTATTCTACTACATTCCTCATGCCTATCCCCAGTTCTACAATAAAAGTTCCAAAAACAAACATCCCCATGACTGGTAACTGAAGTCATTGAGCAGAATTGTGTGTGTTCCTGGCAGTCAAAATTACCTGGTGCCTGGCTGTGGGGCACAGAAAAATGGGAAGCCTGGGGCAAAAATACAAGCGGCCCTCATGAGGGTCAGGCTACATATTTATGGGAACAGGCTATGGGTTTCTATGTTTTTGTTACTGCAGGTGGTGAATAATCTGCAGCAAAGGGGGTGTGTTATGGTCATCTTGGTATCCTCTGAGGGATTCTTGATAAAGACTGCACTGGTTGCTACATGTGTCTTGGCAGGAAACAATGCTTTAGCCTGACATCCTAGCTCTCTTTTAGAGATCACTTCCAGCACCTGTTGTACCAACTAATATTTCAACTGGAAAAACATGAAAATAATTATCTATAAAAAATGGCGAGGTGGTGATCCCTCATTATTTGTGAGGAGCCAATTTCACTAACACTGTACAAAAAAAAATCGATCATCTAATAGTCTGACTACTTCAACGGGAAACATGTAAGATATCCTTTCTGGGAACTTTTTATTCCAAAAACATTGAAACCTATGTGGGATCTGCTCTATCTGTACATTCCTTGTTACTGCTAAAGATCATTGCCAATAAATAGTAAGGCCTGTTAGCTTAGCTTGATTTAAAAAAAAAATACTGTGAAATCAGAGCTAATTAAACCTGCAAACATATACATGATTTACTACGAAATAGATCAGACTTTATCACCTTCATCGCCAACATAATATCTTATAACATCCATTTGGCAAAAGTTTTCTTTCAAATTTCTTTTCTTTTTTAGAACTGCACTAAATTTACCCTTTATTTGCCAGCAGACAATAATTAGAATCCTCTGTCTTCCGGGAACTGCACTAATTGGTTGCATCTGCCATTGTTACACCATGTCACAAAGTGGAATATCCCCTCTAATGGCTCCTGAGTCTACGCTTCCAAGTAGGTGGTGCATGATGACTCACAAGAAACGACAAACAGCACGGATTAATTATATTTATTATCAGAATTTGCTGATTTCTCTTTGACTAGTAATGCAGATGTGAATAAATGTCATTCACTTCATTAAAGCAGAGAATAACATTTAAAGTGTGGAATTAACACAAATGGAGACGAAACACCAGAGCTACAAGACTTACTGTGGTTAAGGGAATATTGTAGTTGGTAATAAGCCTGTAGAGTACATCTGATGAATAAAAAAAAAAAAAATGTAAGATTTTTCTTTATATAAGTTATACTGTATGCCAACCAAAAATTACATTACAGTTTGTAAAGAGATTTTAAAAAAGCTAAAGTGTTTTGGATGAAGCGAGGGAGGATTAGATGCTCTGTCTGTTTTTTTATTTCTTTTTGAGGCCCATTGGAGAGATTTCCCCATGCTTACTGTCACAGTAGCAATGTTGTCACTAAGACAGGGAGTAGATCTTCAATATTGACAAAGACTGCAATAAAAAAAAAAAAAAAAAAGTTTTGGTTTTTCCTACAGTATCTACTAACATAACAATAAATAATAGCTGTTGTGTACACTGTTAAGGATACTTCTCTTTTGTTGTCCTTATAAAAAACAATGTCATCGGCTAGGATATGAGAGATAAACTCCGTAACATAGCCACAGGATTTGTTTACAGTTGTACTCCTGGGGGCCAGCTTTCTAGTAGAAGAGCTTTGGGGGGCTGTAAAACCATCTGATGACTTTTGCAATACTTATAAAAAATCACCACCATTCCTGATTGACTCCTTAACCCCACTACCATGTGTCTCAGGCTTCTCTGTCCTTCCTGTGTGCCCAGGACCATCCTGGTTGGTGTCAGGGTGGAATGCAGTAGGAGATCAGAAAACACTCATTTGTTGATCTCCCCCCCCTGTAGAGTATAAATCTGGAAGTGTTCAGCTCTGAGCACATCTGCATTCAGACCTATCAAACCCTGACCTCTATGGCCAGGAAGAAAAAAGCTGATTGAGCACAGTGTACGCATTCAGTTTCAACTGAGTGGAGTAGGGGTGATATTA